CCTATGTGCAGTGGAAAGGACCAGCTTGCCATTGTGCTGGGTTCAGCGCACTCTTCCTTGTAAATGGTTAACCTTTGAATCTTTAATGTTGGTGACATCTTTGCCCTGCCCCTGCCATACCATAGGGCAGCTACGGTTCTTCAATGCACATCAACAACCAGTGGCAACATGTGGGGGGTGAACGTGCATCTCCTGCACATCCCTAGGGCAGAAGGGCCAGGGTCCAAGTGGCACTGCCTGTCTGTGTAATACCCCCACCTGCCTCCCTCCCTCCCTCACCCACACACCCACCCACTAGCAGCAAGGAAGATGCATGCCAGGCAGATCTAGCCTGCACTGTGCTGCCCTGCTTTTCACTGCTCTGGGGAGTGCCAGGAAAAGACTGGCGGGGTTGGGGGCAGGCAGAGGCTCCCTCTTTTTTCCCTGCCATACATCACCACTGTTAAAACCTGAACTTAATGTAGCTAAAGCTGGAGGCCTCTTGGCTAACAGTTGGGGTCCAGAAACACATTTGTAGAATAGACAGATGCAAATAGCTTTGCTCCAAGATAAGCACAACACCTGAGCTAGCATGCATCAATAAGGTTGGGGGCAGGCAGAGGCTCCCTCTTTTTTCCCTGCCATACATCACCACTGTTAAAACCTGAACTTAATGTAGCTAAAGCTGGAGGCCTCTTGGCTAACAGTTGGGGTCCAGAAACACATTTGTAGAATAGACAGATGCAAATAGCTTTGCTCCAAGATAAGCACAACACCTGAGCTAGCATGCATCAATAACATGTTGTTGGACAGAACAAAAAGAAATCACATCTTGGGTTTTTGGATTAGTGGCATCTTTTATTTATTTATTTATTTATTTTATTTATTTTTGAACAGCAAGACACAAATGACTCTATGGTAGGAGGCAGAGGAAATCTATCACTTCTTAAATAATTTACCATTTCTGCTAACAAATGGTCTTATTTGTCTATTTCATTGTATTCTTTCTTTTTAACTTTGTCTATTAACTTGCAAGTAGTAAACAATGACAAGCCAAATAAAGCAGCCTAGCTTTATCGGTGGACCTTTCCAGCTTCAAAGAAAATGGTCTCATTTTTGCTGACAGTTCTGTGTCTGAAATGGCAATTACACAATTATAAAGAGAGTGCTTTTTTTTGTATTTGACATGTAATTTCTACTATATTGATTTAGAGCAGCTATGCCAGAGGGCACAACATAATGGAAATTTTAATTTTAAACTAGTGGATCTAATTTTAAGCAGCCACCTTACTGAGGTGTTGGAACAACATGGCAAAAAGAAAAAAAATCATTGTTTGTGGGGGTTTTTTACTGGCAGCAACTTGTCAACCTAGAAATTAAAAATAAAATTGTGTTGCAGTGGGAAAGGCAATAATCTTTCTGCCTGTGTATTCTAGGCTTGCTAAAATAGAACTTCTAGCCTATTATCTCAGCTAAGTTGTTTGTGGCAACTGGGAAATGCTGTCTCGTCCAGATGACACTTCGGTCATTCATGCAGTTTCTATAGCAATCTGCGTTGGGCAAGGAAAGATTCCACTGTTTAATTTCACCTTGATGGCTTTCAAAGATATAGAGACTTGGCAATTATATTTTTTGACACAGTTAATTTCTCAGTCATTTTCCATGGTTCATAAATCTTATTACAAAAATTAAAATGGAAAAAAATATAGAAAGCAAAGAATGAATAGAGTATAGGCTAAAATAATGTGATTGGGTTTGTTTGTTTGATTGTTTTGTTTTGATCCAAATCCTTCTTCCTCGTTGACCTATTTACTTCAACGGTGTCCTGGACAGATACAGAATTCTGTCCACCCGGATCAGATTCAGAATCAGGACCCTAATCCATAGAACCCTGCATGCAAGATATCCATGAGTATCTGCATCCATGGATATCCGTGCAGATACCCACAGTTCATTTTTGCAGATATAGATGCAGATAGAAATTTTGTATCCATACAGAGCTCTGCTTATCCAGATAAGGGCCCAGTCTTTGAAGATACTGAGTACTCTCCAAACTATAAAATGTTGTGGGAAGAGAATCTTTTCCCCATAACCTAACAGAAGAGGGCATGATCCTGATTGGGCCATTGGGTGCTACAGCTGAAACCTCTGTAGTCTAGCACCCTTGGTACATAACCAGTGTACAGCCACAGAATTTGCCAAACTACACGAGGTCAGTATTGTAATGAGTGGGTCTCTATTTCACCAAGGTGGATGAATGGAACAACCCTTGCAGTGCTTCTCAATAATTTATGACTGTACTGATACACTCTATATAAGCCCCAGGGACTTTGGGGGCAGGGCTAGTGCTTGGCGGTTCTGGGGGCAAGGGTTCTAAAAGGTGGGGAGGGCTGACATTGGAGGCACTGGGGCATCTAAGATGGGGAGCTGGCACTGGTGGGCTCTGGGGGTGGGGCTAATAGTGGGAGGGCTGGTACTGGGGATGGGCATGGGGGAATTTTTTTGGTGGGATTGGATGCAGTGGGGCTCTGGAAACAGGAGGCTGGTACTGGGGGGTCTGGTGGGGGAGCCTCTGAGGGTCAGGGAGCTGGTACTGAGGCTTTTTGGATGGGGGCTGGCACTGGGCGGGGTTGGATGCTCGGG